CCGCGTGCGTCCGAGTCTGTGCCATCGCGCGCCCGCGTGCGTCCAAGTCTGTGTCGGGTCGGGTCAACCCGACAACCCGTCGGGTTGGGTCCATGTTCGAATTTCCAACACATTTTCCTACCCGGGTCTGATTAGGGTCAACCCGTTTGAACCCGGGTCAGTTCGGGTTCGACCTGAACCGGATCCGTGACCCAAAATTGACACCCCTAATCTAAATCACCTTCAGATCTTTCATTATTTCAAAAAAAAAAAATTACATAAGTTATACACCTCAAGAAATTAGAAGGAATTTAATATAAGATGTCTCATAAGTAATCACATAAGCCAACACCAAGTGCACCTAAGGAGGTCCTCACATGGGTTAGGATATGTAGTTTGCTTAATACTTTGGTGTAAATCGCGAGAATGTGACATGGGGCTTATTGTTTCTCAAGATTTAGACTTCGTTTGGGACGACTTTCTTACTGTTTCTTAAAACAACTCTCTAATACAAAAATTAAAATTTTTATACTAGAGAACTGTTTCAAGAAACAGTAAGAAATTCGTCCCAAATAAAACCTTATAGGTGATGCATATGATACGATTTTTTAATATAACTCATGATTTACTATTGTGGGTCTTGATCGATGGAGATACATACTTGCCACATAAATCTGATGCAATCTTGTTGTCCTGCTGACTCATAGATCTTATGATGTGGGATAACCCTAATCATCATTTGTTTTCATATTGGTCATTTTCATGAGTAAATTTATTTTTCATGCATATTTTAATTATATTTTGTGCCTTAATTATGCAATATGAACACATTAGATATTGTCTTACTGGTGTCAAAATACAAAAGATCATATTATGCGTAAATGTTGTGTTAGAAATGTAAAGGAAACTATTGATGATTGGATGAAAAGGAAATTCATCTTATTGTCCTCGACCATTGCCATTGGCTAAGACAATCTCCAACCGTTCGGTAGACAACTGAATGGAGTCCGTCAAATTAACGTCGCAACCGAACGTCATTTCTTCCGCTATTTGATCGCAGTTGAACAGTGCAACACCAATATTGGCGTGTTACTGTTCACTTGTGTCATTTCTTTCTCTCTACCAAACTCGTCCGAGAAAGGCGCGAAAGAAACGAACGATGATTTGAGAGCAAAATGACGTTCTACTGGAGATGAATCATGACACTTTTTTATTTTACTGCATTTTGCAGTGAAAAATGAGAGTTTCGGTTGGAGATGCCCTAAGTGAATTCTCTTTGATTTATTTAGAAATATGAGTAATGTGAAATCGCTTAAATAAATTTAAAAAAAAAACTAAAATCTTGAACTTTGAGGTGCTTTTTGGTGTAATCATTCGAGTTTCATTAGAAACTCTAAAGTTAAGTATGCTTATATAGAAGTACTCCTAGTATAGGTGACATACTGAGAAGTTATAGTAATGGAACAAAAGCGTGAGGCCATTAGGCTAAATCGGATATATCTCGATAGGAAAAAGTTTGGGTTATTACAAGTAATCTATATAAAAATAATTTAATTTTTTATTTTACTCATCTTAAAGTAAATCTATTAGTTTAAGATTTAATATAAAAAAAAAACTTGATTAAAATATCAAAAACCTTCATATTTTAAACAAAAGGGTAATTAATTATATTCTGACTTAAATATAATTAGCATAAGTTATCATTTCTAAATTTTACTTTAAAATTAGTGCAATATAATTTATTCATATATTAAATTTAATATAAAGAAAATTAAAAATATTTAAAATTATTCTAATCATATTTCGGTTAGAATATATTTTTCATTATCATATATAAATGTTGCCCTTAACAAAACTAAGGGCTTCGTTGTTTTTTGCCTGGAGTCGGTTCCTTTGACTGGAACTTTTATTTGGTCCGGTCACAGGACGTAACTCTACGTTCGGCCGTCAGTAGAATCGTGCCACGCGTTCTCACTATTTATCGCGCGCCCCGACAACCCGACCCTGAACGGACCCAGGATTGCTCGGTATTTCTCGATTTTGCTAGGTATTGCTCGGTATTGCTAATTATTGGTCGATTTTGCTCGGCAATACCAATACCGAGCAAATACCGAGCAATACCGAGTTGTACGCGAACATAGCATTCATGGGTTCCGGTCCAGGTCAAGTCGTCGGGCCGCGTGATAAAGAGTAAAAGCACGTGGCGACATGTTATTGACGGCCGAATATAGCTCTACATCCGGTCAAAGGACGTAATAATTATTCCTTTGATTGAGTCTTTTTCTTAATTCGCCTTTGCCTCAACACCCCAAAGCTATTGACGAACTCAGCTGAAATAAAAAAGTTAGCAGATGTTTGATGATTGAAAATTCTTTAAAATTCTCGCGTTTCGGCAAATTGCCGGTTTCGAAGAAGCACCCAAAATAAATAACTTGAATTCATCCAAAATCTATGGTTTTTGCACCGTAATTAAAATAATTCAGTTTATTAAGGAGTTGTTTGGTTTAAGGAAAAAAAGAATATAAATCATTTGAAATAAGGGGTTTTTTTTTTAAGTTTTGATGTTTGATCATTTGAGAAAAAAAGCAGAATAAAAAACACCACTACCGGAAGAACCACAGACTGAGCAGGAAACCAATTGAGCTAGCAAAAATGCGTAGTCCACAGCGTCATAAGAAAATCACATGCAAGAGGAAATGTAAAAAATAAACCAATAGCAAGCAAAAGGCCATCCCAAACCACACAGGTTGAGAGACAAAAAAGGTAAGACCGCACAAACACCTGCAAGACAAAACAAGCTCCATAACAGAATCGGAGCATAACAAAATAAGGAAAGAAAAACTAAAACAGAGCTAAAGGGGAAAGGCAAGGGACCAAAAACCAAAACAAAAGCTGGAAGACAAACTCGCAACTGAGTAGCCCAAAGGAAAACCACATATCCCCGAGAAGACCCCACCTGAACCCCCCAAACAGAAACCAGACTCCACCATGATGCCCCACAAAGGGAAGACAACCTAGAGACCAAACGAACAGACAGACAAAGCAACCACATCCAAGAGAGCAACCAAACACCAAAAAAAGGCACAAGCAACAAATGGAAAAACTATTTCTTAGGTTTATTCTTCCTCTGTTTACTCGCACCCTTAAAAAAGACTCCATCAGCGACGTAAACCACATTGAAGCCATACAAAGCTTGAAACTCCTTCCCAGGCACAACCTTATCAACCCCGGCAGGACGAAGACTAACATTCATCCAACCAATCATCCACACAAGAATCCTTAGAATTCAAAGCAATTGAGATTGCAAAGCATCACAAGAAATAAGAGAAATCAAAACCTCAATAAAAGGAGAATTAACGATCACATCCACAAAATTAGGCAACACAACAGGTTCCAAAGCAGCCAAAGGATACTCAACCAAACCCACCTTGTTCGCATCACCAAACCTCGCAATTACATCATCTAAAATATCAGTCATAAGCTGAGAGGTGAGGGTACCCAAATCACAACTACTATCAAACAATAAAGCAGCATCATTAAAAGAAGAGATTAAATACTTCTCACACTTATCAAAATTAGATTAGGAATATCCAATCTATTATCATCGCTTGTCAAACTATTTAGAGAATTAGTAAGAGAAGGAGCAAGCAGAGGAGAATCCACCATATTATTAACAAAAACACTATCAAATAATAGATTAATAGGACCAGAAGCCACTAATTCATTTCCAACTGGCACATTATCAAGCACAACATTAGGAACATTCATAGGCACATTATCCCAGTCCTCAATAATAATAGAGTCGATAAAAGCAGTGGTAGGGGGAATCATGTTATCCGCAGGAAGAGAATGATTATTTAGAGCCAAGGATACATGGTCTACAATGGGAGGAGTGACATAAACAACATGAGGCTGGATAATAGCTTCAAACCTCCTCAATTGATGATACAACTTAATACAATCAGACCTTTTATGTCCAATAGCTTTGCAATGTGCACAGTAATTAGGAAAGCTTTCTAAAACAACTTTTTGTATGTAGCCAAATTTCTCATGACCAAGACAAACAGAATCAAGGTAAGTTTTAGAAATGTCCATTTCCACAAGGATATAAGCAACAGACCGCCTAAAACCCACAATAGTGACATTATCTGTGTGAAGCGGGCGGCTAAATAAAGAACTCAAACGGAAAAGTATGTGAGGAGAAAATAGGTGAAGGCGAAGCTCCGAAAATGAAATCCAGATAGGGACGATCATAGACTCTTCTGATAGCTCAAGGAATAGAGTCCATTTTCTCACTTTCATAAAACAACCATTAGCTAAATACAATCTATGTGCAAAAAATCTTTCATAGTTGAGATAATTAAAAAGCTTGATCAAAATATTGCTCTAATCCAAAAGGGTAATAGAGAACTCACCCGTCAATTTAAGGTTGAAAAAAACTTCCTAATTGGCAATAAAAAAGAGGAACAAGAGAAGAGAACTCCCCTCGACCCTAGATGAAGTCGACAGGGCAGACACCTAGAAGAGAACCGAGTTTCGACAACTAGAGGTAGCACCAGACCTGAAAAATTCACAACAAGAGGGAGCTAGGGCATAGCCATAGGCATAAATTCCAATTTCAGCAAAATAGATGGCCTCTAAATCAATAAATAGATTCAAGTTTGACCAGTTTTGACTTAAGTTTTTATTCAATTATGTTACATGATTTTTGTAATTAATATAAAAATTTGTTAAAATTTTTAAAATACAGTATAAATTATGTATATATTTTAATATAATTTTTAATAAATATTAAATTTATAATTACATAAATATAATATGAAAACAACGTAAATTGCAAGAAAAAATATTGTAATCTAAAATATTACTTTTTATAATGTGGGGCCGCTTAGAATTACCAAATCAATAAAGTCCAATCACAAATGCACGGACTGATGCAAGTCACATCCATCCAAACGACGAACCATCCCTCCAATGCAAAGTTCAACACCAAAAAAAAAAAAAATTTTTTTTGTCAAACAAAAAACAAAAATTCTCCCTCATAATGAACACAGATCCCTCCCTATAAAATTCTCTCTCCCATTTCAATCTTCTTCTCCCTCCTCTCAACCTTCATTCATTCTTCCTGTTGAATATTAGCTTTTCTGCTTAATCCATGATGGAAGGTAGTGGATCCTTAAATGGTTCTCTACTCCCTCCAGGCTTCCGATTCCACCCCACAGATCAAGAGCTTATCATCCATTACCTGAGGAAGAAGATAACTTCATCCCTCCCTCCATCTTATTCCATTATTGCAGAAATCGATCTCTACAAGTTCAACCCCTGGGAGCTTCCCGGTATTTTCCTTTATTTGGCATCCATTAATCGATGAAAAAAATTTGATTTTGATGACTCAAAAATTGTGTTTTTTGGTTTCAGAAAAAGCGGTTTTTGGTGAGGGTGAATGGTTCTTCTTCAGCCCAAGAGATCGCAAGTACCCGAATGGACTCCGGCCAAACCGTGCGGCGGCCTGTGGATACTGGAAGGCGACGGGAACTGATAAGCCTATATTGGCCGCTAATGGAAACCATTGCCTCGGCGTTAAGAAAGCTCTTGTGTTTTACCAAGGCCGGCCTCCTAAAGGAAGCAAGACTGATTGGATCATGCATGAATATCGTCTACTTGATCAGTCCAATACCTCTATGCAGCAAAAGCATAAAGGCACCATGCGAGTAATTATTCTGCTAATATCTTAATATTTTATAAAACGGGGGAATCGAATATTGGTTAACTCTTCCTCTTGATCAATTTCAGCTGGACGACTGGGTTCTCTGCCGTGTCAGGCATAAGGGCAGCCTCCTGCCGCAAAACGATGAGAAACCGTCGCCATCACCATCGCCTCCACCGCCCGTAACATCGGTCTTCATCAAATCTCCGGCACAGCACGAATTAAGGCAGCAGAGTGCCGGAAAAGAAAGAAACAGCCTTTTTGAGTTAAGCGATTTCCAGCTTATGGGCTATCTCATGGGCTGTGCTTCCCAGGCCGAGAGCGCCGGTGAAAACTCCGAGCTTGCTCACTGCAGCAGTTTCTTCATCGGAGAACATGAACAGCCTGAGCTTGTTTCCTCCATGCTGGGTTCCATTAAAAGGAAGCTGTCTTTTGGGGCACTCGATGAGCTCATGATGCTTCCTCCAGGCAAGAGGATGCACTATTTTGCCTCCGGCGACCAGCTCTCTCCGACGGAGGAGTCCTACTCGGATGATCAAGGATGTCTCGAGTTCCTAATATGATATAAAGTCTGTGCCTTTATTATTTATATATATAGCTCTGTATATGTTCTGTACTGAATTCGCATCTGAAACACCATTATCTGAATCCAGTACAGAGGAAATACAGAGCTGATGATGTAACTGTATTGCCCTCTCTGGCGCATTGCCATCGTTGTTTGATTTGTTTGCTTTGTTATTTTAGTTTTTTTTTTTTTTCTTAGAATTTGTTTAACAGCAAGACGTTGTAGAAATATTGTTCTTAGTTAAATAAAGGAAGAAGACAGAACAGAAATGACTGTTCTGTATGCACCTGCTCTCAAGCTGTAGAAAGAGTGGGGAGGAAATTGTATTATTCTATTGTGATGAAGATTAATAAAGATTTAAGGGATTTGTGAATTAATTGAAGCTGTTCTCCGAAATTAAAATTTTTGAACTTGTCAGTGATTTCATGCATGTTTGATAGTTTTATCGAAGAAGAATGAATGAGGAATATTTTGTAGTTGATTATCTCGTTGACATTTGGCAATTTCCAAGTGATTCCAATCAGGACATGACATAAGAGAGTTATATTTTTTTTATTATTTGCAGTCACAATTTTGTTAGTTAATGAATCTTTTTATTTAGTTAAGATTGATCTGAAATATGAAAATTATATCATTTGAACATCATATTCTTCTTCTTTTTTGTATTTCTAATAATAAATGAAAGTGACTTTGTAAACTGCATGTTTGATAGTTTTATCGAAGAAGAATGAATGAGGAATATTTTGTAGTTGATTATCTCGTTGACATTTGGCAATTTCCAAGTGATTCCAATCAGGACATGACATAAGAGAGCTATATTTTTTTTATTATTTGCAGTCACAATTTTGTTAGTTAATGAATGAATCTTTTTATTTAGTTAAGATTGATCTGAAATATCAAAATTATGTCATTTGAACATCATATTCTTCTTTTTTTTTTTGTATTTATAATTTTATTATCAATCTTTTGGTTGAATAGTGTTACAACTTACAATAGTTTTATGATGATTATGAATATTAAAATGAAAGTGACTTTGTAAACAAAATAGCTTATGCTTTACAAAGTATAGGAGAACTCTGAAATCAAATGATGAAGCATCTCTAAAAGTGAATTATGATGTGTTACAATTTACAAGTAAATAGGGATAACAAGTAATCTAAAAACAAGAATAATCAAGATTTACATTATTCAATTTTAATAAAGGTCTTTATCCACATGAGATGAGAGAGAATTGGATCAAAAAAGAAATTAAGATGTCATATATATAATAATCAATCGACATCTCAATAAAAACTGTTTGTCATTCTTTTTTTTTTTCAAATGATGCTAATTTCATTAGTTTGCACTGCTTCACATGAGACAAAAATTACTTCTACTCTGTTTTGTTTGCCTCCCTCTGCTCATTCATGGGGATATCATCTTTTTTGATACTATCAAGTTTCAAGCTCACTTCATCTATTTTATTAATGACATTGTAGGGAGGCATTCTCTTTGAGCTTCCTTGTGTGAGCAATCTTCCATTTTTAACTTCCATCTTACTTGTTTTAGGAGATTTTAGTTACATTATATCTTTTCACATATTTAATAATAAAAAAATTGACCATATCTCATAGAGTGTTTAACTCCTTTATGTTCTACTTTAATTTCTTGTATATTCTGATTGATTAGAGTTACATTTCTCTTTAATTATCTCTTCCTCTAGGTTAGGTATGTCTTCAATTTTGTCGAGTTATTTGCCTATTATTGATGGATCTATTATAATTTGATGGAGTTGGGTATAGCGGTTTCATCTAGGGTTCCTACTAATTTTGGTATTTCTCCTTCTAATGTTGAGAATGGGACTTCTAGAGGTAAGCCTTCTATTTATAATCCTTTTGGTCACCATCGCTCCTAAATTTGTCATAAAAGCTTTAAGGAAGAACTAATATCTTTTCTCGAAAGACTTTATTGAAATTTCCCTGTACTTTTGAAGTTTTGATAGCTTTCATTTACTTTGATGATGAAGTTGATAGACTTGCTACTCATTTTGAATTTTGTTTGGTGCATAAATTTTAGTTTATGGGATTTTCATGGTTGAAATTAAGAGTTTCTTTATAAATTTAAGTTTTTTTGGAGCTTGTTCTTAGGGTTTTCATGATCCTAAATGCATTTACATTCAATTTTCTTATAATTATTTTATAGTAAAATTTTTACTCATCATTTTTACTAAATTTTAAACAATTCTATGAGAGTTTTGAAATGGTCTCCATTTTTGGTATGAAAGCCAAATCACTTATTATTCACATATGGACTTCTTTCCTTAATTTGAGAAATCATTTTATGAAATCCCAAACTTTATTTAAAATTGCATCTATATCTGAAAGAATGCTTAAAATCAATCAAGTTATTGTGTCATATGTCAACCATCAATGGCTCATATTCTTGTGAAATTAGACATAATTATAATATTGAAGAATGATATTTTGGTTTGGGTCTGAACAATATGAGTATATTCATAAGATACACTATAGGAAATTAGGATTATTGTAGTAGCCCAACCTTGTAGTCTTGGGCGCCAGAATCTTCAATAGCACATGCTACTATAAATTATAAAAGAAAAAAAAATAATTTTGTCGATCTAATTTCGATAGCCACAATATTTTTCTATGCAGTACGACATTGCTTATGAGCTACAAACTGTCGATTTTAAGATGCAAGACTTTTCAATTAGTTTAGAAAGTATGGACTTATTAAATAGTTTCAATGTAATATAAAAATAAATGCACTTGATATATATATCACAACGGGTCTATGTGTTAATTAGGAAAAATGGATTACAATGCGTTAGAGGATCAAGAGCTCTCTAAAAATATAACATTTGAATCAAAAACTAATGGGCCTATCATCCTATCTATTACAATAACCAAGAGAAAAAGAAATTAGGGAGGAAGGAATCTAGCCCACAAAAGAGAAACTCAATCCATACATTCAATGAAGCACCAAAGGCCAACCAATATAAAGCACCAACACAAGGACAAACAACTGAAAAGAGAACAAACAAAACTGCAACCCACAATCCACATAGAGCCTCCAACAGCAAAAAATCCCCATCAGCAGAACCAACCAACGAATATTCGAAAGGGGCTGCAAGAGCCAAAATTTCCTCCTCAGACATCCAAAGCAACGACATGCCACGATCTGTCGATGATTTAAGATTTAGGAAACCACTGGAGAGACACCTGAGAGGGCTTCAATAAACAATTTAGGAATTTTTTTTACCATTAAGAAAGCCATGATATACCAGACGTACATGATTATTTGCCATCCGACAGAGTCGAAGGAGGCAAAATCAAGACCTAGAAGAAAAAAAAACACTAAGAAAGCTTACATAAATAGAAGGAAAAACAAGCATAAAAGGGAAAACTTCCCTAAGCGATGAGGTGATCTCCTCCTAAGAGAGGAGGCAGCTAGGGCGAAACCCTTACGGAGCAGTGGAAGGACCACCGCACTTGATACATAATTATAGTGCATGGATATAAGTTGTGATTGGTTAAATTTATATTAACTATTATCTTTATGAAAATGATTAGTTAAGACTTAATTTCTTAATAGAGTTAAATCATTTGTGACAGTAGCTTTCGAAGAACTTATTTTTGGTTTCAAATGAAAGTTTTTATATACATGTTTTAAATTCAAAAATCAAGTTGATCATAATCAAAATATGAAGTAAGAGTTCATTTATATTTATGAGGAATATTTCAACCTAAATAATGATATTGGACATTACAAGGAGAGTGCACTCAACATTTTAGACACTCATATTAGATAATATATTTTTATTGTATTGTATAGATTCATGACCCTTAAAACATGATTGAGAATCAAGAAATGCATGATCTCACAATGAGAGTAGTTAGAACATTATTGGTATTTCTTATTAATGGCTTTAGATTCCACATTTGCTTTTTCATTAAAAAAATAGATAATTGTGATCTGTGTGAAAAAATACACATATATAAAATGAGTCCAACAACAATATACGAAATGCTTAAAAAAATGTGAGTTTAATATCTTGAAGAGCAAGAAAAAAAATATTTCATTATAGAAAAATTCTAATTATTAGCGGGTTTTTTTCAGCGGACAATTTTTCTTCGAATTTCAAGTGGCTTTACGACAGATTTTCAGATGATTGTAATGGAATATTTCTAACTGATTTTCCGACAAATTTTCCATTGCCTTTTCATGCAAATGTGCAAATAAATATTTCCGGCAACTTTTTTATAGATTTAAGACTATCTAATATATATATGTTTTTCTTTGGATGTCAAGATAGTCAGAGATCTACATCAGGCTATACCGGACGAGCAATTTCTTTGAAGAGTGCCAAGTATACCCTTATAGCTTCTTATACTATGGAAGTAGACTTTAACGACACATTATGATGCATCTAACAATGAAATATAGCTGCAAAATTTTTTCAGTTAACTATAAGTTTTGTGATATATTACATCAACAATAACATCTTTTCATAGTTAAAGCATATAGACATCAATTTTCTAGTTGTTAAAGAAAGAGTTCATAGTGGACATTTATCTATAGAGCATATTAGTACAAATTTCAACATTGCTTACTAAAAGACACGCTTCCAAGTTCCACCCAGGGGCGGATCCAGCTTCTTTTTTCAGGGTGGGCAAAAAAAAATTTTTTTTATGGGGGATGGGCAAAGATGCTTAGAATTGATTAAATTAGGGCAAAAAATTTTTTTGAAAGGGGGCAAAATACCCAAAATATCCAAAATATTTCAAAATATCCCACTAAAATTAAAAAAAAAAAAATTTGTGGGGGGGCATTTGCCCCCCCTCAACTCAATGGGGATCCGCCCCTGGTTCCACCCATAGTCTTTCATGAGCTAATTGCTCATCTAGTTGTTATATCATTTAATAATATGTTAATTTATTAGGACTTTGTGTTTTTGTTCTATTTAATGTGGTTTTGTATATTTTGTAATTATGGATATTTTTTAGAGGTGTCAATATATGACACGCCTAAAACCCGACTCGATAATTCTAGACTCGGGCCGAGCTGTTTAACAAAACAGTTAAGTTCAAGTTTACTTTTCCGACTCAATTGAAATATCAGGTTGGGCATTTGGATTAACCCATGAACCCAAACAGAACCCATTTGACTTGTCTATCACTCGCTTGCTCAGTCTCTTGTTCACACTTACGTTCATTCACTCACTCACACTCGTGCTCGTTGCTTGACCTCCTGCTCACCCGCTCACACTCGCATCCGCCTGTTAGCCTGCTAACTCATATTGGCCCATTGTACTTTGAAAGTTTGAGGAGATTGT